AGCACCTGCAAGCAAGGGCACAGTCTGCCATGAGAGGGAGGTGATGGGGAGCGGTGCTGACCCGCACCCTTGGAGCCAGATTTCTCATCGCCCACAGCCGGGGTTAAATCAGGCTGGTTAAGTAAGAGCTTGTTAAAACCAGAAGCGTGCTGCACAGATACTTGCGTGCTGTGCTTTAAGCTGCTTTGGGAATGTCTTCTCCCCATCCTGGTGGGTTCATAGTGCCCATTGTAAGGATTTTGGTAAGCTGAGCAACAGGAGGTTTTGTCTGTTCCCCCCCCCCCCCCAAAAAAAAAGAAGTGTTCATGCCTGAGTTTCTGGGTTGCCTGTGTCCTCCGCCATGGTGGGGCCTCGCTGGGGGAAAGGAGGGAGTCTGTGCTTGTGTCGAGTTTCTCCTGAAACAAAGTTCAGACGATGATTCTCAAACTAGATTGTGTCCCTTGGTCTGGAGCTAGTGCTGGGCTACAGCAGGTTCCAGGTCAGCAATTACATGTCCTACCTGCTCTAAGTTTCTGCTCAGTCTTTGCTATCCTTTGTAATCTGAGCAGCAGCAGGCTCCCAGATGGGATTCCCATGGCATGAGCTGCCTGCTCTCAGGCACCATGTTTTGCCCAGGGCAGAAAGTACAAGTGAAAGCTTGAAATACCCTTGGTGATGTGCGAGCCATGCAAGACCCAGCCTGCTCCCCTCAGCCGGGTACCGAGCACCATGTGCCATTGCCCATGTGCAGACCGAGCACACTAAATGCTGGGGGAGCTCCTGGCTCTGGGCCCTTGGTTCACCCGTGGGTTCACAGCGAGTGCGGTGCTGCTGAAGGTCTGATGGCAGCACAGCCAGTGTGTGAGGGACAGCGGGCACCGAGGATCCCGGCTGTGGCTGTGCCGGGGGTTGCTCATGTGCTACACGCAGGTCCCCTCTGACCCTCACTGGGGGTAGCTGCTGGAGGTCACTGACCACAGGGGCTGTTGTTACCCCGGGGCTGTGCGCGCCCGGCGCTGCGCTGCTCACTGCCCGGCCGCTGCACCTCCTCGCCCCGCTGCCAGCCGCCGCGCTGGCTCCAGGTCCCCACTGCCCGGGCAGGCCCCCTGCTGCCCGCCGGCAGCTGGGGCGGGGCGCGGCGGGGGCCGGGCTGCGGCAGGGGCGGGCCGAGCCGAGCCGGGCCGTGCCGGGCGGGTGCAGCCGGGCCCCGCTCTCCGCGCCATGGCCCCGCCGCCCGCCGCGCTGCTGCTGCCGGCCCTGGCCGCGCTCCTGGCCGCGCCCGCCGCCGCCCGCGCCCCGCCGCGCAGCATCGGTAAGAGCAGAGATGGGGGGGTACGGGGAGGGGAGGGCGCCCATCGCGGTACCGGCAGCGCCCGGCCTCCTCCCTGCCTGCGTCCGCGGTGCGCTGCCGCGATGGATGCATCCCCGCGGGGAGCGGGGCGGCAGCGGAGCTCTGACCCCGCCGCCCCTCTCCGCCGGCAGCCGTGGTGGGCGCCGGGCTGGGCGGCTCGGCCGTCGCCTACTTCCTGCAGCAGCACTTCGGGCCGCAGGTGCAGCTGGATGTGTACGAGGCGGCGGCGGTGGGCGGGCGGCTGGCGACCCTCACCGTCAACAAGCAGCAGTACGAGAGCAGGGGAGCCTCCATCCACGCGCTCAGCCTCCACATGCAGGACTTCGTCAAGATCCTGGGTGAGCGCTGACACCCCAACACTTGCACGGCCTCCATCCCCAAGGATTGTTACCCCGGTGTAGTGGGGACGTCTGCTCCCAGTGTGCAGTAGTGCTGTCCCTGCACCCTGGAAGAGAACGGGATGGGGCAGCTGGGCAAAGCATCAGGGCAAGGGGTCCTGGTGGGATTTGGGGGGGGGGTTGTGTGTGTTCATAAACTCCTCCTCCCCTTTTGCCCCACTAGCAGGAGCAATTCCATGGGATGCGCCACCATACAGGGTCTGGCTGGGGTCCCACTGCCCCAGGGTCTCACACTCCCTGATGCTCCTCCGAGAGCATCTCTGCCCATATCCCCATCATGGTGGTGTTTGGTGCTGGCCTTTCCCAGGAGCCAGCCGAGCACAGTGGGGCCCCCATGCTCCCCACAGGCCTCAAGCACCGGCGCGAGGTGGCAGGGAAGAGTGCCATATTCAGCGGGGAGCACTTCGTCCTGGAGGAGACCGACTGGTACCTGCTCAACCTCTTCCGTCTCTGGTGGCACTATGGCATCAGCTTCCTGCGCCTGCAGATGTGGGTGGAGGAGGTGATGGAGAAGTTCATGAGGTAGGAGAGCCCATGGGGCTGGGGAAGGATGCATGGGGCCTTCCCAAGCACCGAGGACATCATCCTGTCCCCTCCAGGATCTACAAGTACCAGGCGCATGGCTACGCCTTCTCCAGCCTGGAGGAGCTGCTGCGCTCGCTGGGGGGTGATGCCTTCATCAACATGACGCAGCGCTCGGTGGCCGAGTCCTTGCTGGAGGTGGGCGTCACGCAGCGCTTCGTGGACGATGTGATCGCGGCCGTGCTGCGCTCCAGCTACGGGCAGTCGGTGCTGGTGCCCGCCTTCGCAGGTGAGACTGGGACCGTGCTCCTCCCCCTGTGACTCCTTCGCTGCGTTCCCTCCATGGGCAGGCTCTTGAGCCTCCCTCCTCTTCCTCTCCCAGGAGCCATGTCGCTGGCAGGGGCCCAGGGCAGCACTTGGGCAGTGGAAGGAGGCAACAAGCTGGTGTGTTCAGGTCTGCTGAAGCTGACCAAAGCCAACGTCATTGCAGCCAGGGTGACGGGCGTCTCTCTGCACAGCTCAGGTGAGCCTGGGGACAGGGTCTGCTCTGGGCGCACCAGGGCAGGAGGTTGGTGGTGGCAGCAAGGGATGCTGGAGCAAAGAGAGAGCACTGGGAGGCTGGAGAGCATCCTTGTCCTGGTACAGTGTTTGGGTGAGGCCCCAGGGGTCTGTCCATCTCCTCCCGTTTTCTGATCCAGTAGGAGCCCTGCAGCACAGACCTCAGCCCTGAGGCTCCACTGTCTCCATCCTGAGGTCCCCGAGGTCAATTCTCTGTCACCATCCTTGTTGCATGCTCTCCCATTCAGCACAGCAGAAGGGCTCGGTTCCTGGGGTTTGGGGGTGCACTGTGCTGCCCCATTCCTTCTTGCCCCACTGGGCTTGGCTTCTCTGGGAACTTATCCCACAGACTTGATACAATCTTCCTTATGCTGCCTTAAAGCATCAGCAGCTCATCCCTAACCATCAAATGCTGTGGTCCAGCACTGGTGTGTACTGGGAAACCAGGGGATGAAGGCCATGCTATAAAAAAGGGGGCCAGGGCAATGCTGCATGGCACTCAGGGCTACTCCTAACCATCCACCATCTCTTTGCAGAGGGGAGAGCCCTGTACCAGGTGCACTACGAGGGCAGTGAAGGCCAGGGCTCAGCCTTCTACGACATGGTGGTTGTGACGACTCCCCTGCACCCCAGCAGGAGCAACTTCACCTTTGAGAACTTCGAGCCACCCATCACTGACTTCCCTGGAGCCTTCCAGCCCTCTGTCACCTCCGTGGTGCACGGCTACCTCAACTCCTCCTACTTCGGCTTCCCTGACCCCAAGCTCTTCCCCTTTGCCAGCATCCTCACCACTGACACCCCCGACCTCTTCTTCCACGCCATGGACAATATCTGTCCTGTCAACATCTCGGCAGCTTTCCGCCGCAAGCAGCCCCAGGAGGCCGCGGTGTGGCGGGTCCTGTCCCAGCAGCCGCTGGACAAGCAGCAGCTGAAGACCCTCTTCAGGTCCTACTACTCGGTGCAGGTGACGGAGTGGCAGACGTATCCCCGCTACGATGCTGCCAAGTCCCTCCCACCCATTGTGCTCCATGAAAACCTGTTCTACCTCAGCGGGGTGGAGTGGGTGGCCAGCTCCATGGAGATGATAGCGGTGGCAGCCAAGAACGTGGCCCTGCTGGCTTATAACCGCTGGCATCAGGACCTGGAGAAAATCGACCAGAAGGACTTGATGCACAAGGTGAAGACCGAGCTGTGACACCCAGGGGAGGTGGTGGGCTGGGAGCTTCTGCGTGTGGTAGTGTGGGGAGTATTTATTGCTATGGGAGCCCCAGGGGGTTTGGGGCTGGAGGAGAAGGGACGGGCTGTGTCCCAGGTGACTTGAACATGCACCACCTTCAGGAATACAGTCCCTGCCCAGTGTTGCTGTGTGTGCCATGTGCCTCAGTTTCCTTTTCTCCCCTCTGTAGCCTCTACTCGAAGCTTGTGCATCTGTTCTGGGGAGGGACATCAGGGGGCTTTCAAGGACAAGGTGGCTGGCATTGGCACACATGGGTTCCCCCTGGTGAGCTGCCCAGCTTCCACCTTAGTCTTCTGCCTGCCTGGATTTGCTTCCAATAACCTGGGTGGTAGGGCTGGCCCGGCCAAGGCAGGAGATCTTGTGTCCTCTTCCATGCCATGTGTGCATGGAGCCAACCCCCCCTTGCAGGCCTGATGCCCCAGGGATGGGCGTGCAGAGTGGGTGCTCGCAGGTTCCAGCTTGCAGGGAGAGGTGCTGCCGGATGCTCCTTGCTTCCAGGGTTGTCCAGGCTGTGTTTTGGGGATCAGAAGAGCCTCTCTGGGAGAAGCCAGAGCAGCACCCCCCATTGGGCAGGGCCAGAGGGGCAGCATGAAGGGCTGAGGCAGGGAGCAGCTCAGACAGGGGCCAGCGATGCGCTTTATTGAGGACCTCAGAAGCCACCCAAACCCCCATCCATTTGCCCCGCTCCCTGGCCCAGCACAGAGGAACTGGTAGGTGCACAGGAGGACTGGGCGCTCCCGGAGCTGTGGCACCAATGGAGCAAATGAAGGCAAACAGGGGCTTTGGGGATGGAGGAGAGCCGATCCTGCCCAGGGGGGGAGACCAGCAGCCCACCCTGCTGAGCAATTCCATGAAGGGGGGGGAGTCTCAGGGGGTGCCTGGCTGCGAGGCTGGCTGTGGGACTGTGCAGCTGGTGACTGGCAGGGGCAGTCCCCGCAATGGGTGTCCCCTGAGGCTGATGGAGCCTGCAGGGTGATTTCAGGGAGCACTTGGAGTTGCCATCACCTTGCACAGGGTCTCCCATCAGCCTGATACTCAGCGAGGTGACCCTCTTCCAGAGGGCTGGGCAAGCTGGGAAGCAAGAACAAGCTGGTTAGATGCCCATAGGTAGTTGCAGGGGTTAGCTTTGCTATCTCAGAACATGCAGGTGCAGCCCACAGCAATGGTCTCCATGACCATCTGGTACTTCTTGTGACACTTCTTCTTCCCAGAGGGCTTGTGCCCTGCTTCTCCTGGCACCGGGCAGAGCAGCCTGCGGACAGGCAGCCGGCTGTAGATGGGAATGCTGGCCATGGTGCGGTCCTCCTGCATCGTGAAGGGGTTGATGCAGCCAGTGCAGAGGCATCGGGCCTCAGGGATGTCTGCTGGGATCCGTGTTGCATCGTGGTTTATGCTGGAAGAGAGGGAAAGTGAGACATGGTTGGAGAGATGGGGGGCAATGGGTGGCTTGGGATGGGCAAGGCATTGCCTCTGCAGGGTGACGTGGGGTGCTGCGTTGCATCACACCGTCAGCAGCCACCGCAGCCCTGCGCTGATGGAGCTGTAGCTGCCATGGTGCTTGCTGGTATATCCCCCAGGTCCCTGCCCCAACTCACCTGTACGCCCAGGGGGACAGGCTCCTCCGGTTGGACCTCCAGAGCCTCAAGTTGACCTGGCACTTGGTGTCACCTGGCTCAGAGCTGTTCCTCAGCTGGTGCACCATGTCCTGGATGCTGCGCTCGTAGTCTGCCATGGTGGTATAGGGGTCATCCAGGGCCCAGGCGAGGGCAGGGGTGGCTGTGGGAGGCCGTGCCAGGCCCCTTCTCCTGCCCTTGGCTGCCTTGCTTTGGTCCTTCGCTTCGGGAACCAGGACCATGGCAAAGGTGAAGATGCAGAGGAGAAGCTGAGGAGGAAGGAGGGATGGTTCATGGCTCCCCTTGAAGGGCAGCTCTCCCACCTCCCATGGGCCGCGGGGTGATAACATGACCACTTTGACTTTGGAGGGGCATGTGCAGTCTCCAAAGAGCAACACCAGCCTGCAGGGTGAGACCCATGGGAGCACATGAGGGCAGTTTGCACGGATGATGGGCACACGGTTGTGGCGAGCCTCCAGCCCAAGGCCCAGCTGATGCATGTGGCTGCAAAGCCCCTTGCCCTGGCTTTTGCCCAAGGTTTCCCTGCCTGTGCTGCTGGAGCTGTGCCTGGTCCTTTCCCTGCCCTCAGCTCAGGCTGTACCTGGCATCTCAGGTTGCAAAGGAGCTTTAGAGGTGACACAGGCAAGAATGGGATCTTTATCCAAACCCTCCTCTCCCTCCCTCTATGCTCTGGGGACGATGAGAAAGAAAAGAAAGATGCTTTTTCCTTCCCTTCTCGCTCCAGCCTCGCAGGGCCAAGCTCCCCTGTGCCGACACCCGGCAGCCTGCCCAGTGGCGAACAAAGTGGCTTTCTGTAGTCCTGCTCCCTGCTATTTGTGTCCCTGCAGCCGGCAGCTCCGCACCCTGCTTGCTGTCCTGCAGCCGTGCCCTGAGGTGTGTGGTCCCAGGGCAGGGACCGCTCTGCCGGGGCTGTTTTCCCCTTCCCATGCTGTCAGGTCACGCTATTGCCTCTCTGGTCTCCGAGCCTGTTGCATCCTCACCATGCCGAGTGTGGGAGTGATGGGGCTGGCAGGCCACAGCACCTCCAAAGCAAACAAACCCGGGTAGCCACCCGTAAACAAGCGTGCAAACGGTTCTATTGAAGAAGGCAAAGGAGGAGCAAGCCCCGCGCCGTCGGGCAGTCACCTACCAGGTTTGGAGCCCGCTCCATCGCGGCGGAGGGGCTGCCGGCCGCCGTCCTGCAGTGAGGCTGGCACCAGAGCGGCCGGGAGCTATAAAGGGAAAGCCTCAGCCCCCGGCTGTGCTCCTCGGGAGGTGTGTCCGGTCCCCGAGGTGCCAGCGCTGGCAGGGCAGGGGCCAGCGTGGTCTGGGACTCGGCCACCTGCCACCTCCCCGGGCATTGGTTCCATCTGCGGCTGCGACAGCAGCGGGACCCCGCTGGAGCCCGGAGGGGTCGCTGGGCAATGCCTTGCCCTGGGGACGGGGCTTGGACTCGACCCCTGTGGTGCCACCATCGCGGTGACACGGCAGCTGGGCTGGGGGAGTGGGGGGGGGGGGGCTGTGTCCTCTGCTGGCAGCGATGGGTGCAGGTCCTGGGGGTCAGCCGAGCCCATCCATGTGACACCACCAGCTTTGCTGTCCCCAGGAGACACCAGACCCTTCTGCCCCGCACCCATCACTTCCTGCACCCTTGGTCTGTGTCACCAAGCCCTTCCCCTCCTGCTGTCCTCAAGCCTGTCCCCAGCTCCTGAGAGTGGGAACAAACCAGAGCAGCAGGGTGGCGGATGTCAGCGGTGGGGTGCCGAGCACCGAGACTCAGGGTGCTGCGGTGGGGGACGCTGGGGCTGTGATGCCCTGTCCCTGATCAGACGGGGCTGGCCTTGGCGTGCGACGGGGGCCGCAGCATCGCGGCTTTGCAGCCCCTTGCCCCGGGCTGTCCCTGTCCCCGTCCCCGTGGCCAGGCAGCGGCTGTGCCACACGATGGTGCTGTCCTCCGCTTAACCGCACCGCCAGCCCGCCGTCTTCCTGTCTGCATCCTTCCCCCGCAACTTCCCTCCCTGCATCCGTCCTCCCTGCATCCCTCCCTCCTTTCCTCTTCCCCTCCATCCCTCCCTGCATCCCTCTTCCCGTCCATCCCTCCTCCCCGGCCACGGGAGGCGAGATGCCCGGTGCTCTTCCCCTCCCTCTGGGACAGCGGGGTCTGTCCTGCTCCTTTGGAGGTACCCTTTACACTGTTACGGCTGCAGCTCCCGGAGGGGATGCTCCACCTCTCTTTGGTGTTTTCTGCCCTTCCTGCTCCCACCCCAGCACCGCCAGTGTGTGTGGCAGCACCAGATGCTGAGTTTCCCTCTGACTCCTTACTTGCTGTTGATCCCCAGGGGTTTGGAGGCCCTTGTCCATTGTAGAGCAGTGGGAAATTTCCACCTCCTTTTCCCAGCCCATGAACTGGGCCTCTAGAAAACCCTGTGAATAGGCTAAAACTCACTGCACCCCTAGCTCTCACTGTCCCTCTTCTCCTCCCAGCCCTGCCATCCCCGGGGATGCAGCAGGGAGCACAGTCTGGCTGCTCCCACGCACAGGACAGCCTCACATCAACACCCCCAGAACAGCATTTATGGGGCTTTGCCATGCTCCCAGATGAGGTGTGGTGCTGTGCACTGAGCACAGCATGTCCCTTTTGTCACTTTGGGGACCTGGCCATGGCAGGGGCCCTGCAGCCACCTGCCTCTGCTGCATTGAGTGGCTCAGCAGCACTCATCCCTCTGCCAGCAGCCTTTCCTGGGGTGCTGAGCCAGCCCCTGCTGCACCCCTGTTCCATGATCCCCCAGGGAGGGGCAGTGAGCAGCATGGGCACCCGGAGGGTGCTGCAGTGCCTGTGTGTGCCGCGGCCGCCTGCGTTGTGTCAGCGCTCGGCAATGCTGTTTACACATGAGAGAGGCTCAGAGGCATCTGCACCGGCAGCCAGTTACCCAGTTTTGATCTTTTTTGGTGAAAAGGAAACCAGGGCTTTCCAGACATGGCTGCGTTTGATAAGCTGGGGGAGGCAGGGGTGGCTTTTCCCCATCGCCTCGCACAAGGGGAGGAACAATGTGTGTGAGCGGCTGGGTCACAGCCAGCCCCTGCCTCCCGCCTGGGATGGGACAGCCAACATGCTCAGTTTGCCAGTGCCAACTGTGGTGCTGCCCCTGGGGGAGCAGGGTGTGCTGGGTCATCCTGCTGCGGGGATGCAATGGGGAGGGTGGCTGGAAACCCCTGCATGGCTTCCGTGGGGGGGGGGGATGTGGTTTTGGGTTTGTTGTAGCGCTCATCCCTGCTATCTCCCCACCACATTGCCCCACTGCCACAGCAAACGTGTGGTGTCCCAAGCAGAACAGGAGGGGCCATGAAGATAGATAGGTTCTACCTGCCCTGAGTAAACTCTGGCACATATTTCCCAGTGTAGCCATCACAGAACCTGCTGCTGTGCCTCTGGCCAAGCTCAAGCTCCCGGCACAGAGGGATGCAGGGTGGATGTGGTGTGCTTGGCAGAAGAGATGTGCTGGCCAGGGAGCATGTGGCAGAGCATACAGTGAGAACCACCGGTAAGGGAATGGGGGCAATCAGACCCCAGTTCCCACTGTCAGAAAACAGCTCTCTGCCTTTGTCACAAGCAGGAATGTTCCTGCCGGGGTGAGAGCCGCTGACATGGGGTCTGTGGTCCCTCCAGTGCTGGTGCCACACTGCAGGGCATGGCCTCTTCCCAGGCACCACGCTGCTCCAGAGCCTGGATCTTCCACAGGACTTGTGATGCCCAGCACACCTGAGCACACACACACACTGTGTGTGCCCGGGGCAGGCAGGAGGCTCCAGCACCGCCGCGGTGGCACCTCCTACCTCTGCATGAGCAACATTTTCCACTCATCAAAAGTAAGTGTGCTCTGGCCTCACCCCATCCAGCCCCACACTGCAGTGGGGAGGAGGGCTGGGACCAGGCCCCCCCCCCAGCAGGTATCTCCCATCCGAGCCGGCAGCGCAGAGCTCACTCACATCCATATTTGCACAAAGCCCCGCGCAGCGCGTGAGCACTGCAGAGACACCCGGGCCAAAAAGGCTTATTTTAAGCTCCCTGGAAAAGGAACATTGTTTGGTGGGAATTAAAACTCCTCGTTCTCAAAAAAGGGAAAACCAAAAAGTGTTGAATTCTGGCCCAGCTGGCAAGGGCAGATGGGAATTTGGTGCTGGCATCGAGCGGGGTGGGTGCCCTCCCCTCCTGTGCCCCTGTGACGCTGGTGCTGTCCCCAGAGTCCCTGGTGGGAAGGGTTTTCCCATAGGAGGGAAGGGATAGCACCCAATGTGGGTGCTTGTGGCCATGGAGCCACCCTGAGGTTCTGGGTCGCCGAAGGCAGTAGGGGTGACCGTGGTGGCTGTGTGAGGGGCTGAATGAGCTGTTGGCAGCCTGGGGTCTCGCTGTGCCTGGGTTGTACATCAAAGGGCAGTATTATTTATACAGCCTTAATCCGGCTGTCTCCTCGGGGGGGGGGGGAGCTGGGTGATGCTGGGGGCTGTCTGTAAATCACACCCTTTGGATCACTCGCGTGAGGTAACAGCCAGGCTCCGGGTCGGGAGGCAGGGCTGTGCTGCGGGGCCAGCAGCACCCAGGAGGCTCACACGGGGCCAGCGGCGTCGGGAGAGCTCCGTGACGGGGTGACGGGGGGGCGGGAGGGAGGGTGCGGGTCCGGCACATCCTGCCGCCGGCACATCCATCAGCAGCCCAGCGTTTACAGCACGTCGCTGGTTACATGATCCAGACGCGCAGGTTCCTCCTGCCCCTCTCCTCTCCTGCCTTTTGTTTTCTTTTGCCTCCTGCTCCTGGAGACAGAGCACCTGATGGAAAAAGCCTGTTCTGCCGCTTCCCATGCCGGACACGCTCGCTTGCTTCCGCCCCTGCTCGGCACTGTGCCGTGATGGATCCCTGCTCCTGCTGCCCCACACTGGCTCACCCTACGGTGGCAGTGGGGAACAATCGCAGGGGCCGGGACTAGGGCATGGCAGGGACAGACCCCAGACCCAGTGGGACCCCTCTGGGTTCTCTATGTGGGGCAGTCCCTGACCGCCGTAGTACATAACAGAGCAGAGCCATGGTGTTCTTCAGGCTGAGAGGCTGCATGGACCACTGAGGCACTACCTGGGCATGTGTTCCATCAGCCTGCCAAGCCCAATGGGCACTTGGCCTCATGCCCTGCTCCCTGTGTCCCCTGTGCTTGCCCTTCCACCTTCCCCAGCCCTTTGGGCTCCTGGCCTCATTGTGTGCCCCATTGCCCGCCAGTGCAGAGCATGGACAGACGATGTGGGGCTCCCAAATAAGTTGGTTTTGCTCCCCCTTGCAGCTGAAAGCAGCCAAAGCAGCAATGAGTCACTGACCCCTGAGGACTTCCGAGGGGTGGCTGCATTTCGTGATGCATTGCAAAGGTGAGACACGGTCCTGCCAGGATGTCCTCTGCATGCCGGCTCCTGGCCATGGGAAGGGCTGGTCCTCTAGCCCCATGCAGGACACGGGGCAGCTTGGAGCCAGGCTCGCTGCCCTCCCTGCAAGGCCACGGTGCTGGAGGGAGCTCAGGGCAGCGATGCCATCTGGGTCTGCAAGGAGAAAGCCTCTCGTTTTGAGGGCTTTGGTGGCTTTTGCTTGTGGGCAGGCATCCAAGCTCCCAGTTTCCCAGGGCACAGCAGAAGGCGGAGGTAAATGGAAAGCTCAGCAGTGACAGTGACGTCTGGTGCGTAGTGTTCAAATCAAACCTCTCCTCTCCACAGCCCTGGGCATGGGGACACCGCTGCATGTGTTGGTAACCAGTGCAGAATGGTCACCAGGTGGGATCTGGTGGTTGCAGTCAGGGCAGAAAGCCTCCTGCCCTGGTCCCCATCCCTGCTCCTGTGCTGCTGTTTCAGCAGTCTGTGGTGGGAAGGGATTTACAGAGCAGCACAGGCCAGTCCTGAAGGTCACCTTCAGAGCGCAGCTCACCCATTCATCACCGTCCTGCCCCTGCAATGGAGACAGTGCATGCATGGGGGCAAGGGAGGCAGGGGCTGCATGCTCTGGGGTGTAATGACACACTCAAGGGCTGAGAAACACCCAACAGCGCCCAGCACCCCTCTGATGTGGGGCAGCAAATGAAAAGGCTCTAAATTGGGTGTGTTTGGATGTCAACGGGGCTCATGGGAGAGGGGGCTCTCTTGTGGCTCCCTGAGCTCACGGGAAGGTGGGAGCAGCCCTCAGAGCCTGCCCAGGGCACCCTCTCCATCACCGCCCCACAGCATTGCCCACTGCCTGCAATGAGAGCACCGGTCCCTCACACCCAGCCCAGGAGCTGGAGCTCAGCAGCAGGGTGGAAAAAGAAGGCACTTTTGTGGAGATCCTGAATCTGAATGGCGGTGAGGAGGGCTCGCTGGGCAGCATCTGAGCAAAGGAGCAACGAAAACAAACCCGCGCCAAGAAATCCTGCTTTGCCCCAAATGTTTTTCTTATGGAGTTGTAACAAGACAAGAGTTGTAAAGATAGTAACCTCCTAAACATTACCTTATTAAGGCTTCTCAGAAACCACAGGGCACGACCCCTCTGGGTCATGGAACAAGAGAGCAGCATCCAGCGAACAAACAGAGGCTAACGTTACATTTTTCACTTCATTTAGGAAACCTGTTTTCTAATTATAGGGCTTGTTTCATGGCAGCAGTTGGTTGTGTTTCACTCAAAGCCAGCCCACCGAGAGCAGGGGCTGCACGGCCATATGGAGAGGAGAAGGGATGGGGTGGCAGGGGCTGGGAGATGCCGGCTCCATCCTGGCTCCCAGGGAGGCTGCTGGGCTCACAGGGCACGGGATAGGGATGAGCTTAGTACTGCAGGCATGGGGTGCCTCACATAGTGAGGGGTACAGGGGTCAGACATGGTGTGGGAGGGCTCTGTGCCCCGGAGGAGCCCCAGTGTGTCCTGGGGACATGCCACACATGCTGTCCTAGCTCTGTGCCATGCACCAAGGTTTATCTGCAGCACAGGGGCCACGCTGTGCTCTGTGCGGTTCCTTTTGCTCGTCCAGCCTAGCCTGGCTTGCCCTGTGCCCCGGTGACCACAGGCAGACCTGCTGCAGGCTGTCTGCTCCTGGGCCATAGCAAAATCAAGGCTTGTCCTGCCATGGGCCACTGGAACTGTGTGAGTGCAGGGATTGAACCAAGCAGTCAGGGTTTGCATTCAGCAGCCCCACGGAAGTTCTTCCTATTCCTGGCCAGGTACCCCAGTGGTGGCCCAGGCTCCTTGGAGGACCCCAGCTCCCTCTGACCTGGCTTTGGCCATCTTGCCATAGGTCCAGGCGCTGCCGCCCCAGTCCCTGCTCTCCTGGCAGATGCTGAGCATCCCCCACAGCCATGTTGGTGGCTGCTTTCCAGTGCCTTGTGCTCGCTCCCACCAGTGTCCTGTGCTCCCCCCGCTGGGTCAGGTCGTGCTGGCCTGCAGCCCTGCATCCCCATTGCAGAGCGGGGCTGAGAACACGGTTGTTCCCCCATTTGCCCGTTTTGTGATGCAGGGTTCATTGCTGCAGGGAGCAGAGGTGAGTGTGTGTGTGTGTAGTGGTGCAAAATCACACTCCAGTTCCTTACTCCTTTCCAGGGCAGAAACCTCCCAGACAACTCACCCTGCCCCTCGGCTAGACCCTATTGCTGGTACTTCTCCTCCACATTGGTTGTGCTCCGCACTGTCCCTGCTCACACCTCGAGGTACCATCCCAGGAGGTGGCTGGCACAGCTGGGTGCTCAGCAGCAGCCTGGCCATCCACTGCTGCTCCTCCTCACCCTTTTACCTCCCAGAATGTCTTGCCCATGCTCCTTTTTTCCAGCTGATTCTCCATCAGCTGAGCTAAACCAGGCCAGCCAGTTCAGAGCTGGCTTTGTCAGCTTTCCTTCACCCCCCAGGAGAGCTGCATGACTCTGAGCACCCATCTCCTGCAGGCAGCAGGGGTTGTTCCAGCCCTGACCCTCTAGAGATGTCTGCAGCCACTCAGGGCTGGTTTGCTGGGGCCAGCCACAGCTTCAGCATGGGAGGATGTCCCAGGGTGGATACAGAGGGGCTGAAAGGACATTCAGCTTCTGTAGCAGGGACTTTGGTGCTGAGGTGACGCGTAAGTCTAGGAGCAGCAGGAGGAACACCAACGCTCCACAGCATCCCTGTACAAAGCCTGGCACGATGGCACAGGGGCCCTGGTCCTGGCTTTGGGGCTGTGCCCAGCTCCCAGGCTCAAGGGCCTGAGGACGGTAGGACTTGTCTCCTTTCCTGGTCCCTCCAGAATGTGCTGATGGAAATCCTGCCCTGCCAGGCTCTTACTCCACCTTTGTCCCCACCGAGGCCAGGGCAGTGCGTGCACATCCCAGGCCCCACGAGTGCTCAGCAGTGCTGCTGTGCCCATGCTCAGCTCAGGATGAGCTCCTTCCCATGAGCCAGGAGAATTCTCCAGACATGAGACCCCAGGCACCAGCCCTTTTCTTCCCCCATGGAGAGATACCAGCTTGGAAACCCCAGAGGAGAAGCTGTTGGTCCTCCCTTCACTCCCCAGCTCTCCCTCACTCATCACTTGCTAGAGAGGTCCCTGCAGTGGCTGCTTCCTCCTCTGGAGTCGAGCTGCTGGCTCCACTGCCCCAGGAGAGCCCAGCACAGCGCTGTGGCTCAGGCAGGACAGCAGTGTTCAGAGCAGAGGCCGTGCTTTCCTTGCCATGCCAGGGGCTGACAGCCGGTGCAGGAGGATGAAGGCACATCAATGCGGAGTGTTTCCCTCCGCAGCTGCCAACTGGCTGCTCATTCCCGGGGCCCCAGTGCCGGCTGGAGGCCATACATGGACTCATGGTCCATGCGGAGCCGGGAGGGGCTGAGCAGACGCAGCCCTGCAGTGATGAAGCTCCCACCCTGGCTCCCCGCGGTGCTAAAACCCAGGGAAAGGTGCCACGTGCATCCAGTTCTGGCTTCACCATCACTCTCCCATGTGGATCCCGGCCCCAGCAGCACTCGGGATCTCACCCTGCACTCACGGGCAGCCCCGCGTCCTCCAAAACGCCTTTTTTTCCCAGGCCAGATGGAGCCTTTCAAAGTAATGTGAATCACGAGCCGCCTCCAGCCGGGCCAGGGAGCATCTCCGCTTCCTTCCCCCGGCCGGCGGGACAGCCGCCAGCACCACGCCGGCCCCACGGCCAGGCTGCCCCACCGGACCCCCGCCCCACCGGCCGTGGGATGCGCGTCCCCCCCGTGCACGCAGGAAGTCAGCTATTGCAAACAACTTTCTCCGGTCGGGATGGCCTGGGTTCCCAGGCGTGCCGCTGGCAGCCCTGCAGCCCTGGCTGCTCTCCTCCCCCCTGCTCCCCCCATAGCCCTCCTTCCCTCGCTCCCCCTCTCCGCCTTAATGACTTCCACATGGGCCTCTGGCATCCCGAGCCAAGCCTCCAGCATTGTCTGAAATCTCCAAATTTAGAAGAAATATGAAAATTGTCAAGCAGCCCTTCCTTAGGGGGTAAAAGCAACACTCGGCTGCGCGGCGGCGGGTCGCGGCGGCGGGTCCACGTGACGGCACCCCAGCCAATGGATCCCCTCGGCGCCCCTGACAGCGGTGCCCGTCGCAGCCTGGCCTCCTCCTGCAGCTCATATAAGGTAAAAACAAAAAGGTTTTGCAGCTTCTGAGCAGCCTGGAAGCAGTTTTTCACTGAGGGGTCCCGTGCCAGCTGCTTAAAAAACCCCGGCTGGCAGCACCGGGGTCCCAGTGGCGGTTATAATGTGCCGGGAGGAGGTGGCGGGGCTGTGCCCGCATCCCGTGGTGCCTCGTGTGGCGCAGCAGGTAGGTGCCCGTGGATGGAGGGAGCGGGAAGGTGCGTGGGTGGCAGCGATGGGTGCATGGCGTGATGAGGATGGGCGGATGCTGGTGCGGTGTGAGTGCTGCTGCTCTGCCTGGTGCCTGCCCTGGGTGTGTGCAGGGACAGGCAGGGGACAGCGTGGCTCCTCCAACATCCCTCCTGCCATGGGATGCTCAGCCCAGACGGCTTCGAGTAGGTTGGGCAGGGGTGCTTTGGGAGGGAGGTGAGCAGAGCAGGGCCATGGGATGCAAGTAGGGAAACCCACTGGGCATGGAGCTGGCAAGGAATAGCAAGAGCTGCCTCGGGACCGGGCAGCCCTGAGCTAAGAGGTTCCCCAAAATCTGTCCCTACAGCTCCGTCCTGGCCCTGGGAGAGGGGTTTGTTGGGGCTCACCCAGCTTTGTGGAGGTGGGGAAGGGCCCTCCGAGAACTGGGGGAGGAATTGCTTCCTGCTCTGTGCATGTCTAGGATGGGAAAAATGGGAAGCCGGAGGGAGGCATGCTCCTCATGCAGCAGAAGCATGGGCAGTTCACTCGGCTCCACTGCCCGGCCATGATGCTGCCACTGTCCGGGGGAAACAGGCTGGGAGGAGAGGGGGCTGGACCTCACCACGGGAGACTTCCAGGGTACTGAAGACACAATGACCGAGAGAACCCCACAGCCCACAGCTCTTGGAACCCCAGTGCCAGCCCAGCCGGTGCCACTGCCTCGCTCTGTGCCCCTGGCTGCAGCCCATAGCCAGCACACTGGTGTGACCCCAGCTGCTGGCATCGCCCAGCTCCATCACTCACTTGGGTGACTGGTTGCCTCATCCTCCTACCCTGGCGGCTCAGCAGCGGCTGATGAGCGAGGTCACCCTATGGGAGCCAGCGGCTGGGCTGGTGGGGACAGCACAGGGCGTGCAGCCAGCAATGGCAGCGCTGCGATGGCTTCAGGGCATAGACACGGCTTGTTCCTAGACAGCCTCGAGCTGAAGCATTGCAAAGGCTCCCTCTGGGTTGTGCCTCCTCCCTGCCCGTCCCTTGCAGGACGTGGTGCTGCCTCTGCCTGGGTTACGGCTGGCTCCGGGCTGTCCATCTGCTCCCAGGGCACCAGCAGTGGCTGTCCCCTCCCAGAGGGTCACCTGAGGACACGGTGCCCCACGGGCATGTCGCAGCAAGCTGCCATGTCCCTCCTCCGCAGGCAGCTCCCACTGCCACAGGGACAAACACCAGCAGGGTCCTGCATGAGCACAGTGGGTCCAGCCAGGGCGAGTGACATCCTTGGGGGTGCAAGCTCCTGTATGGGCTATGTGTCCCTCTGCAAAGGGACAGTGACAGTAACCAGGGCACCGTAACCTCTCAGGGCAGCTGTGGCCACCACCATCCCGTCTGTCCCCATCCAGCTGTGTTTCAATGGATTCCCACTGTCGCTGACTGCTCCTAAGGAGTTGCAGCATCTCAGCACTGGGATGGAGCATGTGGGGATGGAGAACCACCAGTGTGACACGGCCAACTCCGTCCTAGCGGCAGCGTCCCCAGCATGGAGCTATCCTGCCTATGCTGTCCCAGCTCCCCAGCCTCTGCGCACTGGCCAGGGTGCTCTGTTGAAGGGCAATGGCATTGCCTCCCCATTGCTGGCCAACAGGAGAGGAGTTTATTTCCAACAAACACAGGCAGACGCCTCCGCCAAAGATTTCCCAAGCAGTTATCAGCAGGAATTCGGGGATGGTTCTGTCTAGACAGGCTGCAGCTCTGGGTGGCTGCTGGATGGAGTGGCATTTCCCTCCACGATTGTCAAGAGGCAGTCTGGAGATGATTAAGGGCTTTTTTTTTCTTGCTTTTCTTTTCCTTTTCTCCGTCTCCTTTTCTACCCAAGAACCAGCATTTTTCCTGATCAGGCTTTTCCAAGGCTTGTTCTTCTGTACTCGCAGTGAAACCTGCCTTTGATCATCCCTGGCATCCTGCTACTCCTCTTCTAGGGCTGAGCTGGGTTGAGCCAGGGCTCAGGGTGCAGCCTGCCGCAGCTTCTTGCTGACCATGGCCAAGATGAGCCATACTTCAGCCCATGGCACTGCTTTGCCTCCCAGCAGTGGGGCTCCTGCAGTAGCAGGCAGGATGCTGGGCACTGTGCTCAGCAGTCACTGCCATGCCTTGGTTATGGTGATGGGCAGTAGCGTGGTGCAGGCATCAGGCAGGCAGGAGCACAGGCAGTGCAGGGGCTGAGCACTGGGCTGGGGACCCCAGGATGGCTACAGTGCCTTAACCTGTGAGGGGCAGAAGCAGCAAGAGCTTGTCTTCATGAGCGAGCCGCCGTGAGCAGCAAGCGATGAGGCAAGAGGCTGGAAATCTGAGCTCTGGAGACATTTCACCATCCTTTGACCTTGGCCGGGAGCACAGACACAAGCAAGCAGATCCTGCACTGGGGGGAGGCTCCAGCCGGGGGTGAAGCCCAACACACATCCTGTGGCTGCAGACCAGGGGTGCTGGGGGGGCACGCACTGTTCCTGGAACCCCGAAACCCTGTAGAGCCAGGGTTACCTGGGGGGGGCACAGCAAGGCCAGCCTGGGCAGCGAAAGGAACAAGTGGGTGCTCTGGGCTGCCCCAGGGACAGGCAGGGACCCTTCCAGCATCCAGATCCCTGCTGTACACTCAGCATGTGCAGCTGCAGAGCTGCGCATGGAGCTGCTGTGGCAGCACCGTCCTGGGGCAGGGAGAAGCAGCGGCACCAGGGCAGAGCTGGCCTCTGCAAAGCAGTGTGCAGGAGCCCGTTTCAGCTCTGGTGCAGTGGGGCTGAGCTCCAGTGCCTGGGCTGTGGTGGCTGTGAGGCAGCATGGGTTGAGGTGAGGGGCAGAGCTGCTTTGTGCTGGTGGACAAAGTGGGGATGGTCACACTGCCTGTGGGGATGGGGAGGAGGCTCTGGAGGGCTGGCAAGTGCTTGCCTTAGGTGTGTGCTGTATGCGGCTGTCAGCGAGGCAGGAGAACAGACACACATGCAGCCGGCCTGCCCAGGCTCTGTTTGGTTTCAGATATTGAAGTAGGAGGTGCTGAGCACCAACGTGTTCCCTGTCCCACTGGGAAGCACAGTGCCATGCAGTGCCAGAGCCGCAGGAGATGGTCAGGGTGCTGGGATGCAGTGTGCTGATGGGCACTATCCCGCTCCAGGCAATCTGCCCCCTGTGAATCTCATGTGCTTGGCCCCAGCTGGGGCTGTGTTAGGATGGGGACCCGACAGCACTGTTAAGCCTCTTCCCCAGCTGCTACAGGTGGGATGTGCTGGCAGTGCTAGATGCTGCCCACCCAGGGCAGCAGGGTCTGTGGGTGATGGCCGGCAGCATGCAGGCGGCCAGGTCTGTGCCGCAAGACCGCTGTGAGAGAGCACATCTGACCTGCAGGGATGTGCACCACCATGTCCCTGTCATGGTGGCAACACAGGGCTGGGGGGTGGATGTCAGTGCCTCTCCCTGGGCTGGGAGGCGGATGAGCAGCTTCCCTTGGACAAGAGACAGCAGCAGACAGGGCCCGGGATGGGGCTGTGGGGCTGTGGCACATGCCACACTGTGCGTGGTGCAGACGCTCTGTGGTGGCCAGTGGGTCAGCCTGGTGCTCACTGTGGGACTCACTCGCTGGTTGCTGGTACACAGGGCAACGTCTCTCGCTTCCAGCCTGGCCTTACCTGGGATCCCTCCTTGCAGATCTGTTCTTCCTTTGCTTCCCTCCCCTTTCAACCTTATATTTTCAATTCCATTTTCATTATTGCTGCCTCCATCCCTCTCAAACCCCATCACACCTGAGCAGATGAGCTGCACCACTCCCACCAGCCTGAGTATCAGTCCTGATGTACCTTTTGTGCTCCATCCTTTTCCACATCTCATCTCCTGCTTGCTTGGAGCTCGGCCCATTTAGGGCTTTTTCTTTTAGTGTCGTTTACTGCTCAGCTGGGTGGGCAGCAGGCAGGGCTGGGAACGCTGGGGCCTGCAGGGGGTGTGAATTACTAACTGGGGTCCTCTCATGTCCAGATGATGCTGTGCACCGCCCCCCCAATCCCCCTCTCCCTCATGGAGCAGAGATAAGATGATAAGGGCTGGATAAGGAGCCAAGAGCACTGGCAGCCTAATGAGCTCCAGCCTCTGCTAGAGGAAAGGGAGCCTCGCTGCTCCCTGCCTGTTCCAGCTCCAGGCTCTTTGTTGGCCTCATGAGCTCCTGCACACCGCTATGCCAAGGAGCATCCCAAGGAGCATCCCTTCCATCAGCTCCTCAGGCAAGCTCTGGCTGGAAGCCATTCAGGATCTGGGTGAGGAGCAGAGCCCAGGGAGCAAGGAAGATGCTAGAGCAGCCTCCCTGCACCGCTTGGGAACAGCGTCCACGGGGAGCTGTCTGCACAGCACTCTGGGTTCCCACCAGTGAGGGCTGGAGGCTGGTGACGTGACGGCCTGTTCCCGCTGGGACTTCACCCCTGCACCACTTCCTCTGGACCGGGAATGTGACGTGTAAACAGAGCGGGAGGGCTGGTGCTGGGACCCGCTCCCACGCTCCATGTGCCCTGGGGCCTGCACCTGGACACCAGGCATCAGCCTCGGGCTCCAAACACCTTCCAGTGGTGGGCTGGGGAGGGGGCCCAGGGCTGCTCTGCCCCATGGAGTGGGAGGAAACCATCTAAGGATGAGGACATGGCTGTTGGTGGGCTGGGGGCAGCGGGGAAGGGCTGCGGCCGTGGGAAAGGCGATGACCGCACTGCTGTGTGCATTGGCTCTTCCTTAGCCATGCCGCTTCCTGCTCCTCCTGCTTGCTCCTCCGGAGGCTCTTTCTCACCCCCAAACCAGGCTCTAGTGCTGCAGGAGGATTTCAGCCTCATGGCACCAGCAGCTTTGCAGAAACCATTGGGCTCTCTGTGGTAGCACAGGACGGGCATCACTGGTCCCCTGCCCCTCGTTGATGTCAACTTGGTTTGCAGCTTGAAGGTGGCAGACACCTTGTCTGTCCCTGGGCTCCCTCCTGCCATCCCCACCCTCTATCTCAAGCCCAGCTCTCCTCATAGGCACCAAATTAGGTGATTTCTCCCTCACTCCAGCACCAGGAGAGAGGCCGCCTGCCCCGGGAGGGGGAATGAGCACAAACCAGATGTGCTCTCCCCTCCACACCCATCCCTGCTCCGAGCCCCCCAAACCTGCTCCTTTGTTCTTGGCACTATAATTTATCCCAGCACAGCCCATCAAGGAGCACCATCCCCCTGGGCCCCCTTGGCTCGTCCCCAGCATGGGAGATGGGGGCCGCCCGGTCTCCAAATCTGCCTTTTTGACCATAAAAGGGTTGGAACGCCGCGACCAGTGGAAGGATGGGAAAGGGAAGGCAGAGCTATTTATAGCCCAGCATCAGGACCTCAGCCTGAACCCGGGGTTAATCAGCCTGCCACCAGATTAGGATCTCCCTTGGCCCCTCCACTTTCTCATAAACCTTTGATTTAATACCAGTGCTGGTGAGGGAGGCAGGGAGGAAGGGAAACAGGAGGTACCTCTCCTCTGCAGAGGCTGCTATAGTCCATGGGGACCGGGATGGAGATGCTGGGAGAGCTGGAAGGCCCCACTGGGAAGGGGCGTTGGAGCTGTCCTGCCACCAGCGTGTGCTGCCAAGGAACACTGAGCAGCATCCCTGTGTGACCGCTGCCTGTGAGGGACATCCAACAGGCAGCAGAAGCTGCCCTGGGGTCAGTCCCTTAGGTTTCTATAGAGCACAGTGAGTTCTTCCAGTACTAGCATGTTCCCCTCCGTCACCTAGGAGGGGGCACCTGGTGGAGGGGTCCTTGGGCAGGATTCACCTTGCTGATACCACTCAACAATGAGTCCGGGAGGTGGCATCAGGGCTGCTTGAGTAGCGGATGGCCAAGCTGGGTCAAAGCCCATCTGGGGCAATGATGGAGCTCCAAGGGCCGGTGGAGATCAGGCTTTTGGGGAGCAGGAGGAGCAGAAAGGGTGCACGCACAGGGATGAGCATCACCCAGTGCCTTCCTCCCTCCTTCAGGGAGCAGGGCAGAGCCAGAGGGTTCAGGCTTCCCTCAAAGGCGAGGGCCTGGCCTCCCAGCTGGCCTCATGGGGCTGGGGAATTTGAAGGAGGAAACAAATCCCAACTGCTGTTAAAGGGACATTTCCTGCAGCCCCGGGCTGCCTGGAGAGGGGAAAGGGCGCTGTGTTGTAACCGCGGGGAGGGCCGAGCTCTGACTCAGCCCCGCGCCGCCGGGCAGGCAGCTCGTGGCCACCGAGCACCCACCGGGGAAGCGCTCAGCAGAGCAGGAGGCTGGAGGTGAGCAGCGGGCAGGGGGAAGGCAGCGCCAGCGGTGCTGGTGTGAGCGAGGAAGGAGCCGGGGCGCTGTCCTGGGCACGCACGCAGCCTCGGCAGGGAGATGCGGTGGTGTCTGATGGTCCCCACAGCATCGGCAGGACCTTGAGTCCAGCCATTTGTTATCCTGGTGTCTTCTTCTGGAGCTATGGGGAGTGTTTGCATGATGCGAGCGAGGGGACAACCAACCCCGGGCTGCAGCTGTCCTGGCAGACACAGGTTGGGACACACTGGTGTCCCCCGGACACAGAGGTCCTCCAGCAACAACATGAGTGCTGAAGAGCAGAGCGTGGTGGCTGTGTGGCATAATGGTGGTAGCCTCCTTTCCTTGGGAAACCAGGACAAATGCAAGAGTGGAGATGGGGGGAAAGGGCAGGCCCTGAAGCACTGGCTTTTCCACCCCATCCTGGGGACATGCGCTGGGGTCATCAGAGGGAGGATGGGGTGCCTCTTTCACTCTAAGATCTCCGCTGTGGCAGCGGTGGGTGAGCCCCGCAGATGTTTTCCCTCCATCCCGGCAGGATGCTCAGCCCAGCGCATTCCTGCAGCCCTTCGCAGCGTTTCTACCCCACCACCACCTCCCTGGGGATGGAGCTGAGGGCCGTGGGGGCAGAGAAGGCTCCGTTCTGTCTTTTCCCATTGAGGCCAGGACACTGACAGAGGAAGGACAGGGGCCATCCCCAGGGCCCACTGCAGGGCTCCTGCAGGGTGACCTGCAGCTACCACCAGGAGAGGGGAATGTGTCCCACACACACATGGCTTTGAGCAACCAAAGGGAGGTCTGTGAGTGACTGTCATGGAGTTTGTTGTGGGCATGGAGCTGTTGGCGTTGCTGTCCTCTGTCCTGTGGGGCGCTGGACCCCATAGCAGCTGCCCAAGAAGGGATCCAAGAGCTCCACATCAGCCCACACTCCCTCTGCCCCACCACACTGATTGCCATCCTCTGTCTTACAGGCTCAGCCATGGGTGTCCCTGGGGACATGGGAGCTGCTGAAGGCATGTGATGACCGATCGGCCCCAGGAGCATGGCCAGCGGCAAGAGACAGGCAGAGCCAGCAGGACAGCAGCTGCCGCACGGGCACAGGCTGTGGAGGATCCTGCCCCTGTCCCCACTGCCCCACTGCACAAAGCGGGGCTGCCTCCCAGCACTTCGCTCCTTGCTCACAGCAGGATGGTCCCTTCCTTGGGGTGTGTGTGGGGCTGGGGTGCTGCCCGGCAGGGCCAGCAGTGGGGCAGAGGCTCTGCAATGGGGCGTGGTGGCAGGAGGGTCCCTGCAGCACCTCCCCTGGCACTGGGTCCCTGTGGCTGTTCCCACCCTTGGCCAGAGCTCAGGGCTGGCCTGGCCATGGCTGGTATGGAGATAACCTCACACTGGCCAAGGCTGCTCCCAAACCTCATTCCCAACCCATGGATGCCACCAACTTGGGGCACTGTGGGGGTCTTCTCCCCACTCTTTCCTACCAAGAACCAGGGGCAGCACACGGGGAGCTCAGCCCATTGCACGGGGTGGCTTCTGCCCCAGTTCGCAGCTGGGTGCACCCAGCCGGGGGCCGGTGCCGGATGCAGGGGCTCAGTGGAGGTGCAGCATCTGCTTCTCGTCAGGCTGCCGGAGCGCGGGCCCCGCTCTGATAGATGCTCTGTTTATCACGTTCCGGCTCTGCACAGGATGTTAGTGTTCGCCTGCAAAAGGCTTTTTTGGACTCTGACGCTCCCTCCATCCTCCCTCTCCTCCTGCTTACCCCTGGATCCTCGCCCTTGGGTCCGGATGGGCTGAAGCCTCTTCAGACCTGGGGGTGAAGGTCCAGGGAGCATTCACCCCACAGCCCCTTGTCCCTGCCCATGGGAAGGGCTGGGCTCAGCCCTGCCACCCTGGGAATGGATGGGGATGGGAAGCAGAGGTTCCTGCCAGCTGCAGGCTCTGCCCTGATGGGGACTGGGATAGGGACAAGGGCTGAAGGGACAGCAGGAGCCCCTCATCCCCTGGGGCAGGGAAGGGGCAGAGGGCAGGGAGGGATGAGCTCTGTGATACATATAGCCCCACACCGTACCAGGGTGCCCTGGCCCTGCTGAGTGGCAGCCCTGGGGGCACTTCTATCACCCTCACTCTCTTGCCCAGCTCCTCACTAACTCTCTGGGGGGACGCATGGATTTAGAGGCAGACTCCCCCCCTTTCTGTCCCTATCCCTGTCTGTCCCTGCAGAGCAGAGCTACCAAGCCCAGGTCTGTCCTGCCAAGGTGCTGGGGCTGGGCATGGGGGATGCAGACACATGGCACTGGAGGGGGAAAACCTCTCTTCCTGCAGCCAGCCAGGCAGACACACAGCTTTCCTACGGGATGAGCCATCGACACACGCCAGCCGCAGCGAGGATGACCACGGGCTCCTCCATGTCTCCCAGCCCAAGGTGCAGTGCTGCATCTCTGGTCAATTGGGAGTCTGAGATGAAGCACTGTAGCTCGGGAAGGGAGGAACTGCGCACCCTGGGACCGCACAGGATGTGAGGATGTGATGTGAGGAGAGCTGACCCCCAGGTCTGCTCAGGACCCTGGCCTGGTGCTGGGCACCAGTGGGAGGGATTGCAGAGGAATGCGGGAGCCTTGTGTGTCAGGGGCACAGCAGGGATGTGGCAGCAGCATCCCCCATCAGCCAGCAGTGAGGAAGTGTGGGGCTGGCCCAGAGCCCAGGTCGCCGTGCCCTCGGGGTCCAGTTTTCCCAGGAATCCCTTGGGTGCTACGTTGGGGATTCCTGGAAATACTGTTCTTGGGGCCACGGCTCGGCGGCTGCAGAGGGCCCATCCCATGGGGAGCCACAGCCTGCAGAAGAGACATCCACCAAGGTATGGGGCCACCTGGGGAGCTGCAAGCGGGAGGGAGGCATGGCTACCCCAGCCATGGGGAGGTGGGCAATGCAGCACAGGCAGCCCCAGCTGCCCCACACCGGAGAATGATGGATGTCTCTGTGGACATCCTCACTGCAAGAGGATGGAGCTGGTGTGCAGATGGCCGGTGCACATTGCTTCCACCCTGCAATTCCCTGCCCTGAGGTCAATAAAGGTCCCAGCTCCCGACTGACTCTGTCCTGACTGTTCCTTTGGGGCTGGGAGCAGAGTGGGAGCCCATGGTCTGATGCCAGCACACTCTGCAGCAGAAAGGAGAGCCAGGAGCCACCCGTGGAGCAACCCGGGGGCTGCTCTCTCCTCCTGCACTGTCCTCCCTTCCGTGTCCCACAGCTCCCAGCCCCGCCGTGCTCCTGCCACTGGCACCGATGCACTGCCCCTGCTGCGGGCTGGGCCGGGAGCTGGGATCTCTCCCTGCAGACTCCGGGCTCCCAGCTCCACCCCTCGTGAATCACATCCCTGCCCGCACCGGAGCCCCAGCGTGCGGGGCTGACCCGACCCCAGCCCGGGAGCTGCGAGATCGGGGGACGGGTGCAGAGAGACACTACCGGCCTGCTCCTGCCTGCACACGGGTGGAGACAGGAGATGACAGCGGCAGCAGGCAGCAGGTGCAGGCAGCAGGAGCAGGCCGGAACAGGAACAGGCAAGAGCAGGCAGCAGGAGCAGGCAGCGTGCTCGGGAGGTGCGGACTGCAGGTGGCGGTGCTGCGTAGGTCTGAGCAGGCAGCCCGCGCTGCCCGCCCTGCCTGTCCTGCCCAGTCCTGCCCCCCCCGAGCGCTGCCGGACCCGGAGGGGGAGCACCCAGTCACCGGGGGACACCCGCTGTCGCCTCCTTTGCCACGCACCGCTGCGCCGTGTCCCCGCTCCAGTTCATGCCCTGCCTCCTTGGATGCCAGCGATACAAACCTGCCCGGGTGGGTGCCACAGGGACAGGCACCCCGCTTGCCCCCGCTCTGGTTGCCGTTCACAGCTGATCAATGGATGACCCCCCCCCAAGCTCTAAGAACAAGTGCAGGGTGAGGGGCAGCACAGGGTACAGGGCTGGCAGCGCTGGTCCCTATCTCCCAGCCGGAATAGACGAGTGTTCCTAATCCCCCAGCTACTCCCACCCCTAAATGCAGCTAGACAGACACCCACAGCAAGGACAGGCCCCTGGGGACAGCCAGGCAATGCCAGCACAGCCACCATGCTGCTGCCATGGCACATCCCGCACACCACACAGCCCTGTTCCTACCCAGACCATTCCCTGCTCATGCCCCAGTGCCCCAGGGCTAACTGAAACACCCCAGAGCTAACCAGAAATGCCCCAGGGTAACCAGAATGCTTTGGAACTAACTGAAATGCCCCAGGGGTAACTGACATGTCCCAGGGCCAACTGCCTCCCCACCCATACTGCTGACTCAGCGGGGTGCAGCCAGCAGCACACCAGGCTAGGACTCGCTGCTGACGCAGGGCCCCATCACCCCATTGCCTGCACTCCCGGTGCCTGGCACCACGCTCCCATGCGTGCCCCGTCCCCTCCCCATGGCCTTCAAAGGAGAGATGGGCAAACCCATGTGTGCCTGTCTGGGGACATGGAAGGCGCACTGGGCTCTTGCCATTTGGTTCCCAAAGCTCCTGGAGGGGTTTGGGGTGTCTGCGATGGGACAGGGACAGATCCTTCCCAGAGGGACCACCCCAAACCCAGCTGGAATGGACAAAGATGGGGAAAGCCCTTCCCATCCCGCATAAGCAGAAATCACAAAACCTCTCTGGAAATGCCAAGGCAAGCCTCAAACCCAGCCTCCCCCCGCGACAGCGCTGCTGGGTTGCCGTGGCTGCAACTGCTCTGTCTCAACCCTTTCCAAGCAGTTTGTTCTGATGCCGGTTGTTAGGGGGTTACACGGCATGCCGGTGCAGGATAGAAAGTCATGTCTGCCTCACACACACCCAAATTAAAACAACACGGCACTCGGCTCAGGAAATGCCAACTCGGAGAGCTCTGATCGTTTCCTTCTTTCTCTTTCCCCCTTTTCTCAGCTAGGAAATCTATCAGGGATGACCCTGTCCCTGAGATATTTAGGTTTGGACAATATTGGCGATTTCTGGCCCAAAAAATGCCCTTTAATTGAGGAATTCCTGACCTGCCCCAGCATGTGGGAGGCACCACTGTTCTCCTTGTCCCCACCTCTCACTACCAGCTCCCAACCAGGACCTACCTGGGCAGCAGCACCAGCACCAGCAGGGGATTGGCAGAGACCCTGCACTAGGCAAATGTCCGCCTTGGGACTCACTGGGTGCATCCCCCAGCCCCATTCATACGGGTTACCAGCAGCTCTGGGCATAAAGCCTGGAGCACTGAGCCATCTACTTGATAGGGAAACTGAGGCACACATTTCCTGCCTGTCCCTTGCCACAAGGACAACACAGCCAGGGCTTTGCTACTCACCCCAGGTCACAGAATCCCAGCCTGATTTGTGTTGAAGGGAACTTAAAGCTCATCCAGTTCCAACCCCTGCCATGGGCAGGGGCACCTTCCACTAGAGCAGCTTGCTCCAAGCCCTGTCCAACGTGGCCTTGAGCACTGCCAGGGATGGGGCAGCCACAGCTTCTCTGGGCACCCTGTGCCAGAGCTTCCTAAGATACCAACCATCTCAGTCTGCACTGTTCTAGTTTACAGCCATTCCCCCTTGTCCCGTTGCTACACGCTCCCATAAAAGTCCCTCTCCAGACTTCTTGTTGGCCCCATTAGGCATTGGAAGACTGGCCAGGAGAGGAAGGCCAGGCCACATGGGATGGGGGCAAAGCCTCATTGCTCCGTGAGGCTCATCCAGGACCCATGGCAGTGCTGGGGTGAGCAGAGCTGGCACGGGGCAGTGCTGGGGCCATGCCACTCTGTGCCTAGGACAAAGGGGTGCCATGGTGCCCCGGCAGCAGCCACAGGCGCAGCACACTCCCTGCCTCAGTGTCCTCACTGTGCGACGGCGCTGGCACGGCTCAGCACAGCCCAGTGCTGCCATGGCCCAGGCCGGAGCCGTGCCGCTGGGTGCCGGGCCAGGGCTGCCATGCGGGAAGGGCGTTGTCCTGAGTCAGCCGCAGCCCCGCTGGCACAGCCCCGCGCCCCGCATGCAGGAGGGAGCTGGCAGCAGCCGTGCTGAGCAGACATGATCATTCTTTCCTTGCTCCCAGCAGGACAAGCACCACCACCACCCCCCCCCCCCCGATCCCTGCTCTCTGGAAAGCACCCAGCAGTGGAGGCTGAGCACCACACTCCCTTTTTTGGGCAGTTTCCCCCATCCCAGGGTCCGGCAGTTATTGTCTGTGCAGAAACTCAGCAGCCATAAATCCTCCTCTGCCTGCAGGGGCTGCCTGCCTGCGCTCTCTGCCTCCTCTCCATCTCCTCCCAGAGCCACATGTGGTGCCACAGCCCTCTAAAGCTGATACTGGGGGTCTCTTAGAGCCATCCCTGCCCTAGCACGGGGACACTTGTCCCCATGGGTGCCCAGGGTGGAGGTGGTAGGAGGGTTCTGTGCGTGTCCCACCAGGCCACCAAACTGTGGCAGGGCAGGGGCTTGTCACCATCACTCATAGAGACCATCGAGATGATGAGCCCTGATGAGCTGTGGTGGCAAAACGAAACAGATTCACTGACCCACCATGGGAACCACAGACAAGTATATACTTACCAGGCAGCAGCAATCGGCTTAAAGCTAATCCCTGTGTCCTGCTCTGGCCTCGGGCAGGGCCCCACGAAGTGGGTGATGCCACCACTGCCAGGGCCTGGAGAGAAACAGGGTGGGTTTAACAGGGGTTGGTGGGTGCTGGTGTGGCAGCCCTGGGACAGCCACTGGTACCCACAGCCCTGTGCCCAGCTCCCACCAGCACACACAGCCAGGCATCCCCCTGCCCTTCCCTGAGCTCCACAACCTGGCATGGCGCGAACAGACCCTAGTGCCAGCCATGAGTGCCCAGCACACTCAGCACCATGGCCCTCACAGCACTGCACCACGACGCTTCAGCGCATAGCCCTGAGGAGGTGTGGAGTACCCTGGTTTATTTCCTGGCAAGGGCAGGACATCCCCGCGCTGGGAAAAGCTCCTGGGATTAGGGCTTTGTGCATGTGCAGGGTTTGAAGAGCTCAGCGGGGCTGTGATGAGTCGAGGGCGTGTGAACACGCACACACGCACACAGTGAGAGGCAGATGAGCAGCAGAGCCCATCCGTGTCCCCAGGGGGCCCTGCATGCACCCCTGCTCCTCCCTGCCCGGCACAGCCCTTCCATGGGCTCTTCACGGCACAACCCCCTGCCCCACATCCACCACCTCCTGCCAGCAGTTCCCCAGGGCCACGCTGCTGAGCCCCCCGGGGCTGTACTGGAGGCAGGATGCGGGCAGCACTGTCCCCTCAAACCCTGCGGTCTCACAGCACCGCAGGGTAACCCCAGCTCCGGAGCAGTGCCTGCACACCCGGCCCTGCCCCTGCCAGGGCTCAGCCACGCCGGCTGAGCTGCTCCCGCTGATGCAGCGGGAT